CGGGGGGGCCCCGGGGGGGGTCCCGGGGGCGGCGCCGCCCCCCGCGCTGCGGCCCCGCCTGGTGTTCCACACGCAGCTGGCCCACGGCAGCGCCACCGGCCGCGTGGAGGGGTTCGGGAATGTCCGGGAGCTGTACGGGAAAATCGGGGAGGCCTTCGGGATCCCCCCCAGCGAGGTGAGACTGGGGGGACTGGGTTATACTGGGTTATACTGGGTTATACTGGGAGAGACTGGGTTAGCCTCGGAATGGGCGGGGAGGGGTTCGGGAATGTCCGGGAGCTGTACGGGAAAATCGGGGAGGCCTTCGGGATCCCCCCCAGCGAGGTGAGACTGGGGGGACTGGGTTATACTGGGTTATACTGGGTTATACTGGGAGAGACTGGGAGAGACTGGGAGGGACTGGGAATGGATTGGGAGAGACTGGGATGGCACGCCGAACACACCAATGTCCCCTGTCCTCAGTGTCCCCACGTGCTGCCCCGTGTCCCCAGGTGCTATCCCCACGTCCCCACTGTCCCCAATGTCCCCAGGTGCTGTCCCCACGTCCCCAATGTCCCCAATGTCCCCAGGTGCTGTCCCCAGGTGCTGTCCCCAGCCGAGGTGCTGTTCTGCACTCCCCAGGTGCTGTCCCCACTGTCCCCAATGTCCCCAGGTGCTGTCCCCAGGTGCTGTCCCCACGTCCCCAATGTCCCCAATGTCCCCAGGTGCTGTCCCCAGGTGTTGTCCCCACGTCCCCACTGTCCCTGTGTCCCCAGGTGCTGTCCCCACTGTCCCTGTGTCCCCAGGTGCTGTCCCCACGTCCCCAATGTCCCTGTGTCCCCAGGTGCTGTTCTGCACGCTGAACACGCCCCAGGTGGACATGGAGAAGCTGCTGGGGGGGCAGATCGGCCTCGAGGATTTCATCTTCGCGCACACGCGCGGCCGCCAGAAGGACGTGCAGGTGCTGAAATCCGAGGAGGCGCTGGGGCTCACCATCACCGACAACGGCGCGGGCTACGCCTTCATCAAGGTGAGACACACCTGGGACAGGTGAGACACACCTGGGACACACCTGGGACACACCTGGGACACACCTGGGGACACACCTGGGGACACACCTGGGACAGAGCTGGGGCTCACCATCACCGACAACGGCGCGGGCTACGCCTTCATCAAGGTGAGACACACCTGGGACAGGTGAGACACACCTGGGACACACCTGGGACAGAGCTGGGGCTCACCATCACCGACAACGGCGCGGGCTACGCCTTCATCAAGGTGAGACACACCTGGGACACACCTGGGACAGGTGAGACACACCTGGGACACACCGGGGACACACCTGGGACAGAGCTGGGGCTCACCATCACCGACAACGGCGCGGGCTACGCCTTCATCAAGGTGAGACACACCTGGGACACACCTGGGACACACCTGGGACACACCTGGGACAGGTGAGACACACCTGGGACACACCGGGGACACACCTGGGACAGAGCTGGGGCTCACCATCACCGACAACGGCGCGGGCTACGCCTTCATCAAGGTGAGACACACCTGGGGCAGGTGAGACACACCTGGGACACACCTGGGCAGGTGAGGCACACCTGGGGACACACCTGGACAAGGTGAGACACACCTGGGGACACACCTGGGCAGGTGAGACACACCTGGGACACACCTGGGCTAGAGCCAGTACAGGTGAGACACACCTGGGACAGAGCTGGGGCTCACCATCACCGACAACAGCGCGGGCTACGCCTTCATCAAGGTGAGACACACCTGGGCGGGTGAGACACACCTGGGACACCTGGGCAGGTGAGACACACCTGGGACACACCTGGGCTAGAGCCAGTACAGGTGAGACACACCTGGGACAGAGCTGGGGCTCACCATCACCGACAACGGCGCGGGCTACGCCTTCATCAAGGTGAGACACACCTGGGCGGGGGAGACACACCTGGGACACCTGGGCAGGGGAGACACACCTGGGGACACACCTGGGCTAGAGCCAGGACAGGTGAGACACACCTGGGCAGGTGAGACACACCTGGGACACACCTGGGCTAGAGCCAGTACAGGTGAGACACACCTGGGACAGAGCTGGGGCTCACCATCACCGACAACGGCGCGGGCTACGCCTTCATCAAGGTGAGACACACCTGGGCGGGGGAGACACACCTGGGACACCTGGGCAGGGGAGACACACCTGGGGACACACCTGGGCTAGAGCCAGGACAGGTGAGACACACCTGGGCAGGTGAGACACACCTGGGACACACCTGGGACAGGGGAGACACACCTGGGACACACCTGGGACAGGGGAGACACACCTGGGACACACCTGGGACAGGTGAGACACACCTGGGGACACACCTGGGCAGGTGAGACACACCTGGGAACAGCCCTGGGGCTCATCACACTGACAATGGAGCGGGTTACGCCTTCATCAAGGTGAGACACACCTGGGAACACGCCTGGAACCACATCTGGGCAAGGGAGACACACCTGGGACAGGTGAGACACACCAGGGGACACACCTGGGGACAGGTGAGACACACCTGGGACAGGTGAGACACACCTGGGGACACACCTGGGACAGAGCTGGGGCTCACCATCACCGACAATGGCGCGGGCTACACCTTCCACAGGGTGAGAGGCACCTGGGAACACACCTGGGCAGGTGAGACACACCTGGGGACACACCTGGGACACCTGTGACAGCAGGGTGGGGGCAGTGGGACAGTGCTGAGGCTCACCATCACCGACAACAGGTGACCCCAGGTGTGACCCAGGTGTGGCCCAGGTGTCCCCAGCCCCCCAAGTGACTCAGGTGTCCCCAGGTGTGACCCAGGTGTCCCCCCTGTCCCCAGCGGATCCGCGAGGACTCGGTGATGGCGCGCACGCCCCAGGTGTCCCCAGCCCCCCAGGTGTCCCCAGGTGTCCCCACTGGGAGCACTGGGCTGTACTGGGGGGTGTCCAAAGGTGCCCTCCACAACGGGGACCCCCTGTGACCCCCCCTCTGTCCCCATCTGTCCCCTGCGTGTCCCTGGTGTCCCCTGCTTGTCACCCCGCTGTCCCCCATGTCCCCTCCATCTCCTGTCCCCTCTGTGACCCCCCCTGTCCCCTGTGTCCCCTCTGTGTCCCTTCTGTCCCCTCTCTGTCCCTCTGTGTCCCCTCTCTGACACCTTTGTCCACTCCCTGTCCCCTGTGTGTCCCCGGTATGACCCACTGTCCCCGGTGTGACTCGCTGTCCCTTGTGTCCCCTGTGTGTCACTGTGTCCCCTGTGTGACCCACTGTCCCCGCTGTCCCCTGTGTGTCACCCCACTGTCCCCTGTGTCCCCGCTGTCCCCTGTGTCCC